TATTAGTGAATAGATGCAATAGTGCTTAAAAACTGTGTTCTCATGTTTAAATATTAATCTAATATGCAAATGTCAGAAATTACAACATCCTGTTTCCAGAAGCCCCTAGACTTATTTTTATATTTGACCCTGTTCTCAGATGTTGCAGATGCATCTCGTTCTTGCAAATAGCTGGACCTGCATTTCATATAGGTGTCTGTGTCTATTACAGTACAGTTATAGGGACTGACAGAGATTGTAATGTCTTGTGTTCTAAGTATCTGATGTATCTAAGAGTTTATACCTGCTTTGATGTGGTCAGTTTAAGATTTGAGTCAACTAAAACTTGAAAATACAATAATCTTGGTGTGTTGCTAGTGCTTGTATGGACTGCAGAATGAAAACCTGTGTCTTCCCACTGTTTCCTTCCTGTTTCCACAGGAGTCAGGCTTCGATCTTGTATTTGCTTAGGGTGCAGATAACTGATTTTTCCATATACAGACTAACCTCTAGTTATGAGTTGTATATACTGCATATTGCATCTTGCTCAGTATCTATGGATTTACCTCATAGGTAGAAGGCTTTATTGTCTGTGGATTTTTTATATTCTAGAGACAACAATGACCATAGAGTCTTTCTAAAACTAAACCAATGCTTGTTTAGAGAACAGAAACAAGGCATTGATTGGACTGAATTTTAAGACAAGCCACGCTTCTGTAGGCAGTCCTGTAGGTATTGTCCAGCCAGGTCTCCGGTAGCCACATTATATACAACTCCAGTGCTTATTTTTCATTTGCTCAGTTCCTGCTTTTCAGAAAATATTTTGCTGGGCTCGTTGCCCTGATTTTATGCTACTATATGTCTTGAGATTTTGTTGGCAAAAGTTTTATCTCCACTACTATTTCTTGCTGCTTTTTTCTCAGGGAAAAAACAATTTATTAAATCAGTAACTAACCAGGGATTTGCAACATCAAAACCATTCCATATCTTTTGCAAGTGCTGCACCTGATTTTAAATATATGGATAGTGCCAGTTATTGGATCTGCTTATATGTCTTGAACCTGCAGCTGTTTGCTCAAGTAGAATAGAGATTATATGTCTTTTCACTTAGATATTTTGACCAATGAACCTTGGATCAGACAGGTAACATGAAATAGCCAATATAAAACTCATGAATGGAGTCTGCAGAGATTGGGAGTGAGAAGCAGAGTATTGTGTTTTCTTAAAAGTATGATTTTGAAAGTCTTGAAACAACTTGTGAACTAGACACAGACTTGCTAAGTAATTTTGGCCATGGGTGATAAAATTCATGGTCAGCAAAATGAAGTAATGATCTTGCTTTTAACCAGCAGCCTGTGGTTAAAGCATTTACAGAAGTATCTTGGATTACCAGTTTTAATCCCTTACCTTGCTTGAGAGGATTTGTACTCCTGCTTCCAAATCTCAAGAGATTTCTCTGTCTGCCACAAAAAAAAAAAAAAGAGGAGAGATGCACAATGCTTAATTTCTCCTCCTGGTGCCATTCCACTTTGTATAATTAATTAAGCATTCACTGAGGCAGAGACCAGAATGCAGCTGACCCATCATTTAAGTACTGCCCTAATTATCAGACTGGGTAGTCTCCCCCTGCCCTTTTTCTCTGCTCATCTGTCTCAGATGCTGCCTGATTTAGAAGATGTCAACATTTGCAGGAAGAAATAAAAAAATCCTACAGAACAGCCTTACCACATGGCTAGGTTAGCTGGGTAGAGTGATAGCTTTGGATTTTTCCTGGTCCAAGATGCCAAGTGGGATTGCAGTTCCTTTGCATGAAGTCATGGTAACATGAAAGACATCAGGTTTCTATCTCATCTTTTTTCAGATGTTGAATCCCACTGAACTCTTAAAGCTAATTGTATTGTTAAGTGCTGTGCTGTCAGCAGCAACAGAAGATAGTTTTATGAGAACTGAATTTTGATAGGCATGTTTGTTGAATCACATATTCATAACACTGGTAGTATTTGTGACATTGGTAATATTGAACTCACCTTCTTACTTTGCAGTTGTTTTAGAATTTGTATTTTGCAATCAACATCTACCTGACACTGGCACTGATTTTCCTTTTCACTCAAAATTATTACAAATGCTAGATAAAACTTTTAAATAAGACTTGATCAAATTAATAACATGGCTTAATGCTCAGCCATCTGAGGATTTGCATGGAATTTAAGGGCATAAGATCCAGATTAAGATACATGAACAGAAGTTTATGCAAAATTTCAATCTGGGTCTACAGCTGGGATCCTGAAAATCCCTATTCACCTCTCCCTTCTGTGTCAGCTATGCTTTATATAGAGATTAATGTAAAGTTGGAACATGTTTAAGAGAGAGAGCTGTTGAGTTCAGTGAGTGGTTGTCTGTACATTGATGTGTTGTTCAGTGTGAAAATATAACTACAGAAGAAAAGGTAGCTTCTAGCTCAGCATACCTACTCTTTGCCCAAATTCAGTCTTTATCCTTCAGAGGACACAGTAACAATGTACTAGAATTCTGCTGGTTTTATCCCTAAAAGGGAACCATGAGGGTGCTACGTACTAGATGTTGTTACAACTTTTATAGTTAGTATAATGCATTGAAAGCAGGATACACACATGTGTGCAGCTCCACTCTCTGAAGGCTTGGCACTGAACTATCTATGGTGGTTAAAACATTCCTAGAGTATGGGCAGCCTCCACAGAATAATTAAATTTGAGGATGATGTGGTTGCTAGCAAATGAAAACTTTTCCAAAAACTTTATTACTAATGGTACATATGAGTCATGAAAAACATGGACCGACTTTGACATCACTGGGAGAATTTGCAGACTAGTAACTGGAAACTCTCTTCTCAGTTGAAAGCTAAAATAATGAAAATTATTTTGACAGCCTGAAACTAAAGGCCATTTTAACAAAGATGCTTTCAGAAGAGAGTCACATCCTGTCAATGACTCAGCACAGGTTGTATCGTGCAGATGGCAGAAGCAATGAGTAGTACTCCAGAGCTGAGGCTTCTCGTTCTTGTTCCTGCTGCTGTTATTGTGAAGCAGGAAACTTTGTACCCCTTTACCTAAGCAAATAATAAAAGACACACTTGTTACAGGGGAAAAAATAAAAAACCTTGTACTTCAAGTGCTTGCCTAAAGTTGTGTTTATCTTGGCTTTATGAATCCAAATCTAACTAGTGTCAGTAAAGTAGAAAACTTTTCTGCAGCTTATGCAGGAAGAAGGCTTTAGATGGAGGAAATATGACATTTATTTTTTTTTTTACATATTTTATCTCAATGTAAAAACAGATATTTGAACAGATTTTGATAGTATTACTAACACTTAAAATCATAGACTGGTTTGGATTGGAAGGGACCTTAAAGATCATCTAGTTCCAACCCCCCCCTGCGTGGACAGGGAGACCACCCACTAGACCAGCTTGCTCTAAACCCTATCCAACCTGGCATTAAACACTTCCATGGGTGGGATATCCACAACTCCTGTGGGCAACCTGTGCCAGTCTCTCACCCACCCTCACAATGAAGAGTTTCTTCCTAATATCTAATGTAACTCTACCCTCTTTCAGCTTAAAGCTGTAGCCTCTCATCCTACTGCTCCATGCCCTCTTAGAAAGTCCCTCCCCAGCTTTCCTGTGCCCCCTTCAGCTACTGGAAGACCACTATAGGGTCTCCCTGGAGCTTTCTCTTCTCCAGACTGAACAACCCCAACTCTCTCAGCCTGTCTTCTTGGGAGAGGTGGTCCAACCCTCTGCTCATCTTCATGACCCTCCTCTGGACTCACTTCAACAGCTTCATGTCCTTCCTGTGTTGGGGGCTCCAGAACTGGGCACAGTACTGCAGGTGGGGTCTCACAAGTGAAGAGCAGAGGAGGAGAATCCCCTCCCTTGACCTGCTGACCACGCTTCTTTTGATGCAGCTCAGGACACAGTTGGTTTTCTGGGCTGCAAGTACACATTGCTGGCTCATGTTGAGCTTCTCATCAACCAACACCCCCAAGTCCTTCTGCTCAGGGCTGTCTCAATCCATTCTCCACCCTGTCTGTAATGGTTGGTAAAAAGCCTAATGGATGGAAATGCAATCTTTTAAATTTTATATTCAATGAGTGCTTACAATAGAAATAAACTAATACAAAATATTAAAATTATTATTGATGTGTTTAGCATGTAAAATTATATGTATAGAACTATTTCAAAAAGCCTCATATTGCTAGCTCTGAAATTTGGAGAGAAAATATCTGCTAATCTTTGTTTCAGAGAGATGGCAGATGAGTGACTAGAGTGGTATGTGGCAGCATGCAGTTTTTATTAGAAGGTCTCTGAATAATTGATTGTACCACATGCACATGTATAATGTAATTTGGATCTGCTAATTGCCATCCGCAGAAGACATTATGGGTTTTAGTTGGGGCAAAAAACAGGAAAAGATATGGCACAAAAGTAAGTTTTAATTACTAGAAAAAAAATAATAATCCTTCTTACATGAAGCATTTAGTACCAGGAACTTTGTTCCATCAGTGTGTTCTTGGAGAGTCATCTGAGTTCATTAGAACCTACAGTAAAATCTTGCTGACTGCTTTTCACATGAAGGGTAATTCTGTCATACTTGGAGGTTGATTAATTTTTAAATAGGTCAGTTGCGAGCTCCTTCTGAGTTGGAGAAATAACATCAGCTATGGCTTTCTGACTGTATTTCCTTTGGAAAGGAAAGCAGTTGAATTGGAAGAGCATTGTGGGATTCCTTGTTTATCAATTAACTTGGGTAAAATTTGTTCAGTTAAGAAATATATGAGTGTTTTGGTTTGTCTTCTCCCCTTAATGTTGTATTACCCTTACAAACTTACCCTGAAAGCTAAAATTAAACACTTAAATCACAGTGTAGCTTGAAATAGCAACTTGTAGACATTCAAGCAGTAGGCTTGAGGGACAGTTTTCAAAACTGCTTTAAAACAAAGATTACCATTTTGATGTGTATAACCTTTCTTCCTGTTTTTCATTGAAGATGGGACGTGGAACACGGAACCTCAGAAGATAGTTAAACTGGGGGTTCTGCCTGTTAGAAGTCTGCTTGTGATGGAGGAGACCATTTGGGCTGCATGTGGTGGACAGATTTTTATAATCAGCACTGTGACACATTCCATAGAGGTAAACGCTTTTAAAAGCATTGCTCACATACCGTGCAACAGGGTATGTATGTGGTGAAATTTCAAACCTTTAAATCTGTTTAAGAAGCTTCACGATTTGGGAAGCTTTTAATTAAATGTGGTTTCAGGTCTATTAAATCCCACTCCCCAGAGTTTGAAATTCTGCCATGATGTTCTCTGCTGAAGTCCCATTACACCTAGGTTTGCTTCCATTTTCCCCCAGGGTATCCATAAGGTGCTTGGAATTTGTAGAGTATTTGTGGCAAATGGTTTGCTTAAAAATGAGATGTAAGGAAGGCAGCAAAGAATTGGGTGCCTATAGGAATTGCCTGTTAATTCCAGAAGAAGATTTAATTAAGAGACTACTTCTGCATAGTTAGATGTTACTTATACCTTGTGATGCTTTCGTAAGATATTTCTTCAGAATTTTGCTTCTCAGTGAACTGCAAAAATCTGCTTTGCTTAGTGACATTTTCAATAGATAATCATACAAAAGTCAGCTTTTCTGAAAGGAAAGAAAGAGTGTTAAGGATTCATGCACATGTTTGTGACCCTCACTTCTGTCAAAATTTCTGCCTCCATCAGAGGAATGTCTTAGTGATCTAAAGTTTAGAGTTAATGAAATGTTAGGAATTAAGCCTCTCCTTCAACCTACAGTACAGTTACACTGAGTTGTATGATGTTTACAGCCATAAGGTTCTTTCAAACAGGAGTGATGAGCTCACAGCCTCCTTCTTTGTGTGCTTTGTTGCTGCTTTTTTGTTTCATTGATGATCGTGTTTTCTACTAACAATCGTCTATTTGGTACAATTGATTCTGTGAGTCATTGTCATGGGTTTGCAGGAAAATAGCTAACATCCTAATTTCCTCTGTCTTCATCTGTCAGGCTTTCTGAGTGATTTGTCCAAGTAGATGGATCATCATATACTTTGTTTTTCTTTAAGGCTTATTTTGTTGCTAGTTTGAATGCAATGATGTTGGAAATATTTTTGAAGAGTGACTTGAACAAGAGCGTGAAATAAACTTTGGTTAGCTTTGCTGTAGAGGCAGGGTAGCCTCTGGGACAGCTGAGTACTGTTCTACAGACTTTGATAATTAATCTCTCTGATTGTCTCCAAGAAATGCATGGAAATGGTAAGAGATCAGAGCCAGATGGTTCCTCTGTGAGGTTAGTTTCATACAGGTGGATCTCTGTAAATAAGTTTGGCAGTTCTGGCCTAATTCTATCACAATTCTGTCTTCCTAGATCAGGTGGTATGACTGTGTTTTGGGCTATGCTGTGCTGTTTTGACACAGGAGAACAGAACCAGAGTTATACAAGCTTTGAGGATTAAAGAATGTATAGAGCTTATATCATACTGAATAGCAATATTGAATACAGTGTTCAGAGAGATAAAATAACAAATATTCTATCAATATCTCTCAGATGTGGCCGTTTCTCTTTTCAGCTGTTACTGTATAACTCTTCCTACAAAAGCATCACAGGAGGTTTCTTTTCCAGAGTGCTTTGTAAACCAACCAAACAGTTGTATTCAGAGCTCAGTTTGTTATAAACCCACTTTTATAGCTATAATTAATATGCAGGCAGTAATTGGTGCAGCAAGCAACATAGTACTGCAGTACAACTGCCTGAATGTCGTATTTTCCTATTCTACACAAATATCCATACCGTAGCCTGTCATCTTGCTCAGAGAATAGTGAACAAATTATGATTTTCAGTTGCCTCTTTACTGGTCTTAAGTCACATACAAGTACTGATCTTGTTTTCGTCATCACACTGGACTAAACAGCTCACTAATGTTTTCACTGTTGGTGCCTGCTCAGTTACCTGACTTGCTTTGATAGCTTCCAGGGTTTTATTTCCAAAAGTGATCTGCCATTATGTGCATACCATGGTCATTGACAATATTTTTCAATATTATATTATACGTGGAGCAAGTTAAACTCTGCTTATAGGGAATATTTTAACGATACCAGCAGCTGTACACATCTGATCTACCTTTTCCTTACTGTGCAGAGCAGAAGCTTTGCTGTATGAAAGGAAACAGCAGCAACGAAATGTCTGTTCTCCCTCTGTGCCTTTACTCGTGGAGAGTTAATAGTAATGATTTGAAGATTTTTTGCATATTAATCTTTATCAACAGGAATCCAGATGTTGCACAGGGCTCCTCTGTTACTCTTCTGTCTTTGCTGACCTCCTTTTTATCTCCACATACTTCAAATTACAGTTCCTTGTTGGTTCATTGCTTTGTGCTGTCATTCATACATATTACATGCTTTGTGTCATACACATTATCTATAAAGGCACTAGTTTTAAGGCCATACTTGTGCAATGACCATAAGTATATTTAAGACCATTTTGTAAACTCCATGCTTCATAAGTACCTCATATTTAATATGCACTTGGTAAGTGCAAAGTACATTAACCTTGGAAACAATCTCATTCTGTGCCTTCTTGCTTTTCTAAGATTCTTATACAAGTTGTTGGGTTTTTTTTAATAACTGTTAGTAAATGAGCAGATTTGGCATCCTATATATTAGGTTTGCATTGTTACTCACTTTTCTGTGTTTTTTGTGTTGTTCTTTTTTTTTTCATCTCTGATATGGATGAGACTCAATAGCTTGTTTTAATGATACAGGACTGATAGAATGTTTCAGGAAATGTCTTTTAGTGGCACAGTGTCCCACACTGACACAATGCCTCAAGCTCCTTGGCAAGAGACGTGTGAGAAATGCATCACTTGCTGTTATATATTATATGATCTGATACTCTTTCTGTGAAGAAGAAATTTGTCCTTAGTCTTGACCCTAGATCTCTGAGTAGTTTTGCTGTGGGGCATAGGCCTTGATCCCATAGTGATCTCTGTGCCTGTGGACATTTACACTCTGCAAAGGCATTATGCATTTGTTTAAAAACAAAAATAAATGCCAGAGTATTTCACAGAATAAGTCACCAATTGAATGGCATTCCATCCTGGTTTGTTTTGGTTTTTAAACTTGGCAAACTAAACAGGAGTTACTCTGAAATGTTCAGCTGAATAAACAAATGAAAATGCCTGTACATGAGTGTGTGTTGCCTGAGTCCTTTAACATCTTTAAAGCAGTAAAAGTCATTTGTTTTACCTTATGGACATTTATACCCATTAGATAATGATATCCTTGTGGACAATGATGCCCATTATACATCTCTCATGAAGCTTGAGATATTGTGGTTCAGTTCTTGGCGCAGCAGTTTGGTGCAAGTGAGCACCCCCTCAAAAGAAAGACTCCAGCCATGCCCAGCGCTGCTGAAACAATAGTGAGCTGTGTGGGCCTGGGCTGCTGAGCAGGCGGGCTGTGGCATCCAGAATGTCTTCTGCAGCTCTCCTGTTGCTATAGAGTTTCAACGAGAGAGCCTGAGGGGAAAAAAAGGGGCTCTGAATAGAGAGGAATGTAGGCAGGAAAGTAAAATGAAGTTCAGGGTTGTTGGTTTTTTTATTACAAAGGGAATAAGACATTTTTGTGCCTTTGTATCTGCATTTCTTGTTGTGAGAAGAAAAATAAATAATTGAAGAAAAAGGAAAACTGTTGGTTTTCTAATAGACATGTAATTGAAACAGATATCAAAGCCATTCTCTATACAAAAACATATTTATAGAAGAACATGCAGGTTTGGGGTACGTTCGTGCTCTATGTTAGAAGACCCTTTGAAGGAGAAGAATAGTTCTTTTTACGTGCTTCTCGTGGTGTTGACAGTATTGCAGTTTTACATCAAGTAGGTGTTCCAGCAGCCAGCTGTACGATCGGCAGGGCAGACTAAGTGGGAGTATAATGAGTTGGCTGGTGAAAATGGAATGTGACAAAAATGCATGTGCAAGTTGTTTACAGTGGCACCAACAGAACTGTCAGCTGCAGCCAGACCCCTCCAGAGATAGTTTGCTTCTCAGCATCAGCTTTACTTCTCATTTCAAACTGCAAGTTGCTGGTCAGGTTTACTTCACTGGTCTTGGTCTGTCCCTGAGAAGTTTTCAAAAGTCAGTTGGTCCTCAGTGTAGGGATGTATGAGTCTCTAAACAGAAGTTACTATTTTAAAATCCTTTTTGCAATGAAACATCCATGATGAGAATATTGGGAGATTTAGTCATAAGAGCTGTTTCTGGCTTTTAAAGATGTTGTTCATGGATGAATTCTTCTGTTGAAAAGACAGTATGATTTTCAAATTATGTATATCATTTGGTAAAGAATGAATGGAGGTTACTTAAGGAAGATAGTGAATATAAATGTTCCTGCCAGGGGTGCTTGCCTTGCATTCTGCAGTGTTGTTATTCAAAGAGTCAAAAGGTAATACAGAAACACTCAGAAACTGAACCCTGCCTAATAGCTGAAAAGAAACTTCTCTGTTCATGTACTAAAATCTGAACATTTGAGCAGTGTTACATAGGAATAATAATAATAAAAATTAATTCCCCTTATTTTTAAAACAGCCAGTTTCTCAGTGGACAGTACTAATTTATGGAATAATAACATATGAGAAGAAAATTAAATGCCTACTAAGTATAATATCAAAAGTTACACTTTGTGAAAGCTTAAAGTTCTGTTCTTTATCTCTGATCTTAGCCTGTTTTTTAAATTTAGATGGATAATTTGAACAATGTATCTATAACCCTAGTATATTCAAAATATAGCTGTCTTAGGCTTATCCAGAGAAACATATATTTTAGATTTTGATGCAAAATGACAAAAAATATAATTCTTGATCGTAATGCATGGAAAATATAAGTGTACTTTAACAAGGAAGAAGGGAGTACTTCCGCATTTTATCTTCAAATATAATTAGAAGTATATAATACATAGTGTGACTATTAGAGCAGATACTTACTTCCATATCCCTTAGAGAGAGATATGTATCAAAGGAACAGTTCGTCATTTATTTAGCCAAGGAGTTTTATGTTTATCAGAGTAGCTCTTTTCTATTAAAGCTGGCACAACATTAAAAGGCTGTGTTTAACTTCAGAGACAGTTTACTTACAAGACAAAATGGAGAAAAAAAAAAATCTACTTCTTGTTAATGATTAAAAAACTGTACTACAGCTTTATCTTGCATGTTAGCAGGGGCATGTAAAGAGGTTTTGGCCTTCCTGAAGCAATGCAGAAGTTTTAATTGTGAAGGCACTAGATAAAGAAAAAAGGTCTCTCACAAAGTCTTGTGTTACTTATCTTCAAGAGGAGGATTTTGGCCTTTCAAATTATAACCATCAATACTTTGAAGGACAGGAAATCAAAATAGCTACTACTGGTGAAATTTGGAAGTGTCTGTGAGTTGAAAAGCCACAGTATTAAGGCTCATATTGTTTTGTACATAGCTGAGCAAATAGTTGTGTGTTTATATTCATTACTTTTTAAGATTACTTTTTCCTTGATTCTATTACATTTGTGCTGAAAATACCCCCTAACAGAAGGAAATATTTTTTATTGTTTAAAGAGGAGCTCTGCTGTACATAAAAGGCTTTTGTATTTCTTTATTGATACTCCTTTGAAAAAACTACGACAGATGAAGTTCCTGGGAGTGGGTATATATTTTTTTCTAGGATGTTACTTTTAAGCCTGAGCTGTTAAGGGCTTGGCAGCCCCTACCATGCAATATTTTAATAAATACAGTATTGAGGTTACTGTGAGGTTGCTCTGTCATTAGCTAGAACTTTGGCTCAAGAGCTGAAAATCCTTCCATACTAATGAAGAAAAAAAAAGTAACGGGACAATTAACAAATCATATGCAGTAGTCAGAACATATCCCCAGCAAGGCAAAGGAAGCTAGCTTTGTCCTTGAGCTGGAGAACAAAAATCCAGTCTCTGAAGAGCTGATAAAGGAGGTTGAACTACATTGTTCAGTTGCATCTCCCCACAGAGTCTTTGTTTTTCTTACAGAGCCATTTTGAAGCCCATCAAGAAGAAGGGATGGTAATCTCTCACATGGCTGTTGCTGGAGTGGGAGTTTGGATTGCCTTCACATCTGGATCTACACTTCGCCTGTTCCACACTGAGACACTGAAACACCTCCAGGACGTTAACATTGCCACACCTGTCCACAATATGTTGCCAGGTAGTAGAATCACATTGTTTTGTCTTTATCACTGTCATTCTCCAGAGTTTTGTAGATTAGACCAGAATGAAAGAGTCCATCTTGGACTTTGAGTCTGATAACTGTCTTGGTACTATTTGCTTTAGTAAATCATGGTCTGTTGCCTGCCCAGAAGAACAATATGTGCAGTGAGCTGGTTGAGTAGCAGTTCTCCTCCTTACAGGTTATACATGGAATTATATAGATAAGCAGGTGGATTCCTCTGTTTAGTCTTTTTTTTTTATGACTGTGAAGCAGCAGGACAAAGCAGTCTGCCATTAAAATGTTTGCTTTTCATAGTTAAGTATTTGCTTTTGGCTCTTAGTATCAAAATACATGATGGATTCAACATGCCTAGAATCTGGACTGATAAACCACTTCATTTTAGTTCTGTCAGTAGTTTCAGTGAACTCAGCTGAACCACTCACATGCTTCCAATTCTGAGTGTGTTTTGAGTAGTCTTTTGCTAATTGGAGCTTCAGTTTATTGAATTAAAAGGTGAGTCTTACAAGTCAAGATGGGACCGCTGGTTGTTAGGATAAAGTTTAACAGATCTTGTAAGTGTTCTAAGACAGAAGCTGTTTAATCATCCCCAGATCATCAGTGGCACAGGCACTAGCCTGTATCAGTGTTGCAAGTGAGTGGCTAGGACATTAGCAAGCACATCAGGTGGGACCTGTGGCAGTGCTGGAAGGAGAGATGGACAGAAGAGTGTTACAGGCATGGCTGAGCACGAGGTGTCCAGGAGGGGATGACTGTTCTTTCTGTTTCTCCCTGTTTATAGCCTGCAATAAGCTGAGCTTCTGCAGTTGTTACGTGTGATGTGTGTGCCAGCTTTATTGCTTTGTGTCTGCCACAAGCCAGTTCTTTCCACAGTGAGGTTATATTTATATTCTTATAAGAGTTAGGTATAAATCTTGCATCAAAAATATTTCACTCCTTCAGTCTCTATACCATGTTCTCTTTTAGATGACATTAGCTTTGCAAAAAAAGCTCTTCTAAATTGTGCCAGTTTATATCATGTTTTAAACAGTGTTTTTACATGTGGTGCTTGACTGTAGCTCCAACACTGGACAGCAGCAAATAGCCTTCCTTTAAATAGATCATTTGGTTGGATTCATCACAGTTAGGCAAAGAAATCAAGATCAGTTGTAAAAAAGATTAACTTTTAATTTGTATTGCTGTTTGTAAAAAATGGGGGGGAAAGGGATGTAGAGCATCCCTTATACATCTTTTCTGCATATAAAAAAACTTTAAAAAAAATAGTTTAAAAATTGTGCTTTAGTGTTCATTACCATGGTGATAAAACTGCTGATGTAACACACATTTTTTATGGAGGTGTTTTAGCTAATTGTATCTCCTCAGTGTCATTCTTACCCATTTTAGTTCCTTGTCTTATTTTCTCAGTGTCTTCACAAAAAGCACAGCACTGAGTGGAAATGGAAATTTATTTCAGGAGTAGAACATTATTACGAATGTTCCAAGGGAGAATCTGTTCTGAAAATAAAATGAAGTTCAATTATTTAGCAGGAGTTCTTGGGACTGTTTATATGATCCCAATAATGCTGCAACAGAAAAGGAGTGAAATAGCTGCGTATTTACAAAATATGTATTTGTCTCAAGTGAGGATTTTTAGGGCTTCTAGTTTTAAAGGAAACAGCTGTTAGTTTTCTGAAATCCAAAAGGAGTTCCTTAGTATGCAAAAATAATGTAAATAAAAATTCAACCGGTATTGAAATGAGAAAGAAGAAATTGGTGAAAAATACTGCTAATTAAGTAGAGAGATGGAAAAGGCAAGATCTCAATATAACTTTGAAGAAGTTGGACTTCTTTTGCCAAGATTTTAGTAGGAACAAGAATATGTAATATAGGCTTGATAGGCTACCCAGAGATATCACCTGTGTCTTCATTTGAAGCGATGTAAACGAGAGGAACGTCACTCTATGAAGTTAATGAAATTATTTTGTTCTTATGTAGTAGAAGCAAAAGAAAAATCTACTGTCGCTGTCAGGAGTGGTTACAGTAAGTTGCAGTACTATATTTAAAGGACAGCTGTAGAAATTAAGATAGAAGAGTAGGAGGTTCTCATAACCTTAGTAACCACTTCTCATGCATTAGTTTTTCCCAGGATATTAAACCAGGGTTATGGAGACAACTATGGGATAGACATTTAGTCTAGAGTGGTCTGCAGTACCTTTACTGCATATGTCCACAGAAATACTTTGTAATAATGTATATCAAGCTTCTTTTCTATAACAAAACACCAAAAAAAAAAACCCACCTAGAAGCACAAATGCCATATAAGAAAGGAAGAGAATGGTTGAGAGTAAGAGCATTATCACTGCTTCAGAGAACTATTTATTTCACTATTTAGTGAACAACAGTACAGCTGGATTGCTTTTAAGCAGCCCAGGCACAGCTCTGAGCAGAGGACATACTGAGCAGCAGGGAAAAATAAAAAATCTGTTAACATTTGGAGCCAAGTGTACACACTTCCCAAGTGCAGTATACTCCATTTATAGAGCAACTTTATGCTTAGTGTTGGTGATCTGTAGCTGAAATCTCAACAAAGGCAGTTTTTCACCAGCCTTTATCACAGCTCAGACAAAAAAAAGTGAATCGTACTGAATAGATACGTTTTTCCATAGTCAACATTCAATATTTCACTATTCAAGAACATCCTTAAATATGTTTTTTCCTTCAGCTCTAAAAGAGTTTGTCCTTTTAAAGAGATTACGGTGAGCTTGATACATGTCATTTCCTTGCTCTTATGGATGTGGACAGGTTATCCATTTAAAAAAGCTGTGACTTCTGCTTAAGTTGCTGTATTCTGTTTATATCCATATATCCTCTAATGGCATGTGTGTTTCCTGGAAACAGATGAGAAAAGCAAAGAAAAAAATGTATCATTTCCTTTCTGAAGAAAACAAAAAGAAAGTATATTTTGAGGCTTACAGTTTTCTTTCGTCCCCACCCCACTGGGTGCCAGACCATAAAATGCAGAGGTTTTTATTATTTTACTTGTGGAAAATGATAAAAAGATTGGGAAAAACTGAAAGTCAGCTCAGTAAGTCTGTACATTGGGCTTATTTTTATACAGTAAGAGCAACGTGGTGATGCAGGAGGATATGCCCCATTTTGCCCTTGCACCTACCTAGAGATGACTTTAGATCTGTGTGGGAACATATGAGGATTTACCCAGATCTGGTGATTGCTGTAGCTGAGAACTGAGAAGGGTGAACATAGAGCAGAACACAGGCAATAAAACAATTTGTTTGTGTACAAGCTTACTTGTTGGCTTCACTTGTTATTACTTGTTATTTTAGAGGTTTTAAAAATCTGTCATTGCCATAAAGTCAATGTCTTGGTCAGATTATTTTAGAGGTTTTAAAAATCTGTCATTGCAGTGGGATGGTGTGATATAAAAGTTATAAGTTAAAGATAAGGGTATTTGATTTGGTTTGGCATTTTTGTTTATCATTTTCCCTTCTTAACTTGCTACTGTGTGCTTTCTGCATGACACATCCTGAAGAATTGATCTTGCTTCTTTTTCCTCTGAATATGAAATACATCAAAATTAAAAGTCACAAAATATCAAAGAAAAAATACCTTGGATATCAAACCTTGGATAGCAGATAAAAAATAATATTTTAAGTCAATATTTAAATAGTTTTTTTAAGTCTGTATATAATTTTTAGTTGCTTCATGCTATTTCAAAGTATATTTTCAGATGCAGATGTTTCCTGCTTTTCCAAGACTTCAAAGCAAATGGTTTTCCTTTTAACCTTACTATATATAGATGGTTGATGCTTAAGGTTGTGCTCAGTGTTTAAGATTGCATGTTCCTGGCTAATAATTTGCTGGTTTTACCTATGGAAACAGTAATGGGTATTATCAGTTTTCTCTGGTAAAAATGACTGGTTAGAAGTTGCTTAAGGGTTGGAGTATGAAATGATGCATATTACATGATAAGTACTTTAAAAAGCATTAAAGATCTGTTGTTTAAAAGTGTGAGCATCTTGCTTCTGCAAGGGGTTTGAGAGGCAAAGATACATAAAAAAAAAAATAAATTATAAAGGGTTTTAAATTGTACATAGGTATTCCTGTTTGTTCTTTGTAAAACAAACTTTAAGTGAAATAGGGTGAGGTTAAACTAACTTCAGGTTACTTTGCACTTGCTGGGACACCAGGGGTGGCAGAGAGCCATGACTTGAGGAGCCTGAGCTCTTAACCACAGAATTCAAATACTGATTGTTGAAACAGCACCTTTGTGTACTTTGTTTTGGAAACTAAATTAATCCCATTAGTATCTCAAAAAAAACCCCAAACCAACAAAAAAAAATCATCTGACCAAAAAACCCCACCAAAGCCAAACCAACCAACCAAAAAGCCCCAGGAAAAAAGCAAACTCCAAGCTTCAAAAGACCTATAAGTTATTTATAGATGTAGACCATCCACGCTTATCTAGTTGAAGATGGGTGCTGCAGTCCCAGAAGCATAAACACCTACAGTTTATGGAAAACAACATAGATGTTTCAGAAGATTTGCATGAGTAGATGGAACCTCTTCAATTTACTTGTGCTTTTGTTACAGCTGCTGACTTAATGGGTTAATATTTTGTTTTTGTAAAGTTTTGTAAGGAAGGACTTGACCTGTGGCCTGCCTCCTACTTTTGAGTTGAGTGCTTTGGGCTACAGTCAAGCTGCTGCTTCCATGCTTTCCCAGTGGGACTGAGATTCATATATTCTTGGATGTAGATTGGCTCAGCTTCAAGGGAGAAAGATGGAAAATGCATTAATTTGTGATACAACTGTAATTAAGGTCCTCTTCCAAAGTGTGGAACATGTGGGTTCATCCAAGTTACATCAAAGGTTGAATCCAAAGTCCCTACTTACTGATGAAGTTATTAACAACTTGAGAGCTATGATAAAGATGGTGATGACTGCTCTCTTGCATGTGAAGTTAATCATAAATCCAAGAACATGCAGATTTTGAACCTGAAGGATTCCAGCAGAGTTTAAGTGCTCCTCCATGTACACTTGGGCCATGGCCAAAATTTGGGCAGGCTGTAGTTTCCATTCTGAAACTTGGCAAGGTCATTTTGAAAATCCATCATAAAATCAAATATACTGCAAGCAAAATTACTTTGTTTTCATTGTAAAAAATAGCAATCCTCTAAATAAGATGTTGTAGAAAATAACAGAATCATAGAATAATTTTGAATGGAACCACCAGATGACTCTGATGGTCATCTTGTCCATCCTTCTTGAAGCAGGCCTGATTGTTTGAGAACGTGTCCAGACAAATTTTTAATATCTTTAGATAGCATGGGGATTACACAACCTCTCTGAGCAAACCATTGCAGTGTTTTACCACCCTTATAATGAAGAAGCTTTTCCCTACTTACAATCCAGATTTCCTGTGTTCCAAATTTGATCTGTTATGTCTTACCCTGTCACTGTGCACATCTGAATAGTCTGGCTCTGTGCACCCTCTGGTCAGACAGGCACAGACAAGACTTGGTTTAATCTCTCTTTCTACACCATGTGCTCCCTTCTCCTGATCATCTGGGTCACCTTCGATTGTTGAATGGCCAGTGCCATTCTTGTATGGGGGAATCCAAACTCAAACAGGGGATGGAACACTTTTAAAACAGTTTCACAGAATAAAAACTAGGAGGAAAAAAGTAACCATGAACAGGATTGAGTCTCGAGAATACTGTGCTATCGCAATATATTATTGAGTGTTGTGAAGTGAAATGCCTTTCAGTTTTATTATTGAGAATACACAAATAGAGTCTATTTGTAAAAGCATACTTGTAAAGATAATCTATGTCTACTTTTAGATACTGTGGTTTAGAGATTTAGGACAGAATGCCTCAGAAGTTTAATAGTATTTAAATTGCTTAATACCACGATCCAGCAAAAATTTGCCTTTGCAATGAGTTTGAATGAGATGATACAACTGATTGTGTTTGCCTGAAGTTACTTCACTGTAGGTGAAGATCGTCACTCTTCAGTAACAAAGCACTTCCTAAACTTCACAGGGCAGCAACGTGTGTCTGTGACCAGCCTCCTGGTGTGTCATGGTTTGTTGCTGGTTGGAACAAACCTGGGTATAATAGTAGCATTGCCAGTGCCACGCCTCCAGGGGATTCCCAAAGTAACTGGTGAGTGAAAATTCTCAAATGGTTCAAATTTTATACTGAAGATTTAATTTCTCTTGAGTCAGTAGCTTAAATAAACCTGCCGAGTTATATGTATTGTTAAAGAGATATCAGAGCTTTCTGATGAAATTATATTTGTTGTTTTTCCTGAGCATTACAGTATATCCAGTTACTTGACTAGTTCTGTCTGAGTTGTTTGAGCTGGGACAGCTGTTGTTCTTTAGGACATAAGAATAAGGTGGGCATTAATCCTGTCAGAGTACAGTCAAATATATGGGGGTTAGAAGAGGATGTAAACGGTCTTTCTTTCAGATGTGGAGAATGTAAGGTTGTGAAACATAGGTACTAAAAATTGAATGTCTTATCACACAGGTTATTCAGTAAATTGGTTTTGTGCCCTTTCTACCTAAACAGGAGACTTGGAATATATGAGAATACATATTTATCTTTTTACAACAATCTGATAAAAGATTTTTGCATTTTGGAGAGATGTGTGTTTTTAGTCACTTTCCTATTACTCCATTTGAAATATAAATGCCTGAATGCTACTGCATCACTTTGTAAGTGTTTACGGTACCAGCAGAAGCAAGATTTTTGAAGTGTGTTTACTGGGGGCTTTGCCATGCTATGTTTTGGGTTCAGAATTCCGCTCGAGCTTCTGCACTTTGGAGGGAAGCTGACAGATCTTATGAGGCAAGCTGTTTGCAATTTCCTTCAGGGTTAAAAAAAAAAAGCTTATGTAACTTTGCAAACTGAAAATGAAATACTCTGTGTTCAGCAAAATACGCAGCAATAATCCAGTATGACACAGGATAAAAGCTGCTTAAAAATATGGAACCTATGTTGGGTGAAAAGAAGCACAATACAAGAAAATGCGGAGTTGCAGAATCAAAAAACCTCTCAATTTTAGTCTTCCATTTTCTGTTTTGATCATTGTGGTTTATGTCATCTGTATATTCTTGCTTTTATGTTCAGTCAACATTTGTCAGATTGCACAGATCTAGCAACTTCACATTTAGACATCTATTTTTATAGTCCTTGATACCATATTTGGAACCTGAACTGGAAAATGGTGACTTTTTTCAGTTGTACTTCCAATAGTGATAATTCGTCTATATTATTGCACTTTCTGTAGAAACAGAATGTTTTATCATAACTTGGTTTGCATTAGGGAGCTAGGAAATGCACAGAGTGATTTGTAGGGTTGTGTGGTTTTCCTTTGATAGCCTAGCTCTTTTTCATATTGTAGCTGATTTTGTAGAATACTATATGGATGGAGACTCCCTGTTTACAAGGAGTCACATGGAAAAGACAAGGGGTAATGGGCACAAGTTGTTCCTGGGGAGATTCTGATTGGACACAAGAAGTAAATTTTTCACCATGAGGACAGTCAAACATTGGAATAGTCTCCCAAGAGAAGTGTTACATTTCCCAACATTGGACAGTTTTAAGTCTCAGCTCTTCAGGGTGCTAAGCCATCTCCTATAACCTATAGTATTACTTAGAAAGGTTGGACCAGATGATCCTTGAGGTCCCTTCCAATCTGGCATTCTGTGATTTTATTTATTTCTCTTCTCTTTTGCTGTAAAAACCATGTATACTGATGTTGTTATAGCTTCTGAATTTGGCCATATGCATTTTTTTTTTCATACATCCTAATGATTTGCAGAGTGTAAATCTTGCTTGTAGCACCAACATCCCACCCTTCTGTGTGGTGTGGAGGGGTCTGTTACAATGACACAGATGTTCTTATGCTGTTCTCAAGAGGTACAGAGGTGCAATAGTATTAAATTGAAACCCACATATTTTGTGGATTAGTGGAGAAAACTCAGGGTTACCTTTGTGTTGCTGCCAATCAAAAGAAGTTAGCAGCATTTCTGTACTCATGCTGCTGTGAGAATGGAGCACAAAAGTATGTCAACTAAAATGCATAGTGCCAAGTTGCAGCTTGATTCATGAGGAAGTCCTGAAACACTTGGGGTACAATAGTTTTTGGTTTTGGTACAATTTTCTGGAAAGTGTCTACACAGACAGACAGAATGCATATAATAGGGTTTTAGGAGTTACGCTTTTCTGAGCAAATGTAATGAACTAATTCTAGTGGAATACTGTGATAAAATAAATTACATTCTTCAAGTGTCTTTTTCTTCTGGCTCCAGGAAGAGGAATGGTGTCGTATCACGCACACAATGGCCCAGTCAAGTTTCTTGTAACAGCTACATCTATAAACAAGAAGAGCAGAAACAAAGTGAGGAACAGCCTGCCTCCTGGCTCAGATGCTAAAGATGATGACCGAAAGAACGTTCTGCAGCATGAAAGACCAGGCTCCTCCCTTAGTAACACCCATGACACTGCAATTTGGCTGGGGGACTCAGTAGGATCTATTGCACAAAAAAGCGACTTGTCGTCATCTTCTGGATCCCTTACTTTGTCTCATGGATCAAGTTCCCTAGAACATAGGCCGGAGGACAGTAACATCTGTGAGCTTTTGAAAGATCAAAATATCTCCCTTAAAAGTAAAAGACAGAGACCCAAGAAGATGAAAGCAAGTTCAGTGTTAGTCATTTCTGGTGGCCAAGGACACAGAAGAGTGAACAAGAAGATCAAGCAGCAGCGACAAGATGAACTAGTGTCTTCGGTGATGGTCTGGCAAATCCCACTATTAAATATCTAACTGAACTAAATCCAAGATACTTTCTGCTATTAAAAATATTCTGATACCCTTTTACAGCAAATGTCAGCTTAGGACCTATATGGATTGATTTTAATACACCTGGAAGCATTTTCAGTAAGCTTTGAACACAGGATTAGGGGTTACAAGACTGAGTCTTCACATACTTAAAACATTCTGCAGTGTTAGGGTATTGGAAAATGTTTATCCATTGATGCTGTCCTTGATACTTGGAACAAAAAGGATTTGTTAGACACTTTTAAATGGGTTTAGAATCTCTACCTTATTTATATTCACACTTATAAATATCATAATTATGTTCTGCAGAACTTAGAGGAGGAATGCATGCCAGGTCTCAGGTTCTGCTCATGTAGATCAGCTGTTGTGTCTTTTTCCAAAGTGACATATTGCGTGGACTGTAGATTTTAACCAAGCAGAAAATATTTTAAAACAACAAATAGTCTAATGCAAGTTGATATTAATTTGGTAATGACTATAATATTTTGTAACATCATTCCACAAGCCAGAGCTTCTTCTGGACAACAGCAGTTATATTAATTGACTAGTATTTGTTTATTTCAACATAGAAAATAGATTTTATTATTATTGCTAATGCTCAGTATTATTAAAACTGTTGCAGTACAAAAAGCACATTAATTTTCTTGGTAGGTACAACGGGTCTGTGACTTGCCTTTGTTATTCAAGAGAAAGTTCTAAGGATGCTGTGGCTTAGGGCATGTAGAAAATGCAGATAGAGGACAGCTGTGCATTGTAGTGCTGCTGACACATTCTCCCCCTGGCAACTCAGTATCAAAGCTAAAGATGGGTTATGCCTTTTTTAAGGAGGCATGCACATCCAGTAAATTAATAATTAAATTGTTAAAAAAAATCACTAATTGCAGAGAAATACACTAGTTTAGGAATATCTATAGGAAGTGCAAGTAATCACTGTGGATATAGGTCCCACATCGATTGATTTGTGCTGTGTCCTCAGGCAAACACCTATCAATAATAGCACAGCACAACAGCAACAGCAGCGATATGGTCACGTCTGTTGCAGTCACCTCATTTCACTCAGTCTCAGCAGAGCATGGTCGTGTGAAATTAGTGTGCACAGCTCCATTCACTTGGTCGGGCAAGCGGTTTCTGTGGAAGTGTAAGAGGGCTGACTTCTAAATAGGGACCTAATCATAATTCCTTTATGAATCAATGTATTTCCAAGGGAAACTTTGAATTTGGGACTCCTACTGAAATTGCTTTTTGCACATGTGAAATAGAAGACAGAGCCTTCAGCTCAGAAAGACATTGCAGAAAATGGGGATAAGACACATTCTTCAGTCAGAGTACGTTTAATAAAAGTAACATGTTGAATGGAGTCATCGAGAACATCCTTTTCCCTCATCAATAGACTGAAAGACACAAAGAAATCAGGACAGTTAAGTTTCAGTTGAATATTCAAAAAACTCTAACACTGTCCATCAGATCAGTAAAATGCAAATTAAATATATGGAAAGCAGAATGTACATCAGATGTATGCATTGACTGGAATCAATTAAAACTCCTGGCTACTTTGACACTGCTTTTATCCTGCTAAGGAGGTGGTTTGCCATGAAGTTATTTCTACTACTTCTAATACAAACTCCTTTATTCCACCTTGTTTTATTTCAATCTGCCTAGTGTAGGCACCACAAGAACCATAATTACAGTGTTTCCCAGCAGATGACATTTCAAGGTAAACACTACTAGAAACTGAATTATTTTGTTTGCTAGAAGATATAGGTGAGTTTTTTTCAAAATATTTTTAATGTTGCCAAAATTAATTTTCTTTATTTTACAGCAGATTTTTATAACTCTTAAATTTTCAGTCTGTCTGCTCTAAAAAAGCAAACCTCTATCAAGGTGACTCCAAAACTGGTGGGTGGGCTGACTTACCAAGTTTGACAGAGCACCAGAGTAACACCAGATCTTCCCTGACACCAGGTACGTGGGACAAAGGGAATGCCAGTGCAGTCAGTCTTTGCCTGCTAGGTGCCACCAAAATGCATTTCAAAAATCAGATACACACCCTCATTTCATTTCACGGGTTTTGCCCACAGCCTGCATCCTGATCAGAACAGGATTCTTGAGCTGTAATAACACAAACTTCACTGAGTCGTGGAAGATAGTTGTTACAGGTAGGATTGTAGGCTTAGGGTCTTCATTACTGCTTTGTGCTTTTATTCTGTGTCTTTTGCTGTGTATCTTACAAGTTTAGTTGAGTATTGTCAGCATTGGTATGGACTTAGTATTGGCATGAGTCCTGATGAAAAAATAAAAAAAGCATTGCCTTTAAGCCATGCAGCTGGCAACATTTTCCCAAACTTTTCCTCCTCTCCCTGGCCTACTTCCTGGGCTTGCCTGGCTTGAGGGATCAAGGCCAGTTGTGTTTTCTACACTCTTCCATAGCTATGGCCCTGGAAGCTGCTCTTTGCCCACTGTGTGGTAGTACTGCGTTGTACAGTTTAATGTATGTATATTGAAAATCAAGTTAAAAGATTCTTCTTTGTATAAAGCATATATAATTTAGTAGCCTTTGCTACACTGAAGTTAAAAAGGCTGCAGGTTTTATTCTGTGTGCTCCTTGGGTGTGGGATTCCACGTTCATACCTTTGGGGCTGCAGGATCACATCCACTCTTTTGGATCTTTGTCACTAGGAGCAGTAAGCGGAGTCCACCACACATTCGACTGGAAATCCACCATGTGTGATGTCACAACAGGATCTGTTAGCAGTAATGCATCAGAGTTTTAAAGTGAAATTCATCTTGTTTTCCAGCTAAAATGTAATTTTCTTCACTTTTAACAATAAAACAATAGAAGCAAAATACAAATCTGCTCTTCTGAAAGTACGTGGGAATTTTGCCAGTGATTTCAGTAAGAACAGAACTGGGTTCCTCGCTTACATTACACTTTGAAAATACGTATCTATTTATCTTATTAAGCTGTAAAGAGCAGCTGTATGTCTGTCTTTAGAAATACGCATTGTCATGAACTAGCCTTTTAGTAACCAACAAAGCACAAGGTGCAATGTTTGATTTCTGATATACAGCTGAGTGGCATTACCTTACTATGAAAACAGGCAGGAACCAAAGTTTCTCTTACAGCTGGCAAATAGTCTTCATAGCTGTTGTAGATTGTGCTGCTAGGTAGGTTGGATTTTGCTTTCTGCTACTGCTTTTCTAGATTAATAGGAGTTACAGAAAATATTAGGAAAAGAGGGGAGCAAGTGTAACCACTATGATATCTCTATATGTTTTCTAACACATATTAGTGTATTTTATAACATGAGCCATAAAACTTGTGTATTTATGTTCAAAGTATAAACTGATAAAAATGTTTAATAAAAAATGGATAAAAATTTAACTGCAGAAGTACATTTCTCGGATCATCACTGTAACTAGCAGGCTAGAATATGTGTTGCGTATTCATGCATAGTGCATGTTAATGAAATGATGAAAGGGAAAATGGGATATGTAATTAGAACAACAAAGATGTATATGTTTTAGTTTCATAATTTCTACAATTTAAACACAGCAAGTACAATTTCTGAGAATGATACAGTCTCTTATAACTCAGACCTCTGCATCAATGGACAGAAATAGTGTATAAGAGTAGAATTTCTACTGAGCTGTCTACGTGGAATATGCATCAGCACTTGGGCAGCATGCATGATGCTTAAAAATGAGAAGCATTAGTGTTCAAAATTAGTATTACAGGGTAAAAGCATCAACAGTGGAAATTAATTTTCAGTTGCCAACTGGCAATTCGTTCTAATTAATCCGCCCTAAAGGATATATACACAATCCCGTTACTGTGTTTAAATATGGAGACTTGTATTCATCAAGCTCGGCAATAGCCTTTTTGTGTCTATCTACACTGTTAAGAACAAACAGGAAGAGTTACTGAGACATACTTGGTTGCTAGTAAATCCTGCCTTTTTGCTCCTGTTTTTGTACCACAACTCTTTAACATATGGTTCTGAAAACATCACAAGAGTGCAGGAGACTGTACAACCACACACCTGAACACAAATTCTGTCCCAATGGGAATTTACAACTCATTATTCATGGATGAGAGGCTGAGGGCTAAATATTGCTTACTTCCCCCTTGAGAAAGGACTGAGTATTTGGGTTTCCTGAACTGCAGTTTGGTTCTTAAACTTCACTGTTCCTCTCTTTACTGTCCAATTTAATCTTCTGACCTCATAAAGACAAATTGTTTTTTGTAAAATTAGTTTGGAGGTGAGAAAAAAAATCTGTGGTTTGAAAGGTGCACCTATAATGGAGGGTTCTGTATGAGTTAATCTGTATTGCAATGAGTGATACCATCAAGCTGATAGATTGCTTTACATATCTTCATAGTAATAGCCTGTGAAGAGAGCAGATTAATCCGTAGCTAGGAAGAAACTGAGTTGAAAAGTTTATTACCTGACTTGAAGCCACGTGATGATTCTGTAAAAGGACACAGATTAAAGCCATTGCTGCTAAGCCCGTGATTAGCCCTTTTAAACTGCATCCTCCTTGTAGGCATCCTGTATGTGTGCTTGTTAAAACTCTGGGCTAGTGAACTGACCTGGACAAGCATGACAGCTTCAGCACTGACCTATGACCATAGTTAGCAGTTGACAATTGAGCCTGACTGCTTCCATCAGACAGCACTGACAAGGCCACTTATCTGGGATACCTTGCGGACTGTTTAACTATGTGAATGTGAACTGTGGGGTGCCACCTGCAGAATACACTCTGTGCCTCTCATTTCTTGATCCTGATGTAGCTTAGCATGTACCCATACAACCTGCTTCCTATGGGACAGGTGCCTAGCAGTCTAGAACTTGAGATGAGTCTCTTAGAACCTGGAGATAAAAATATGTACCATCATAGACTTGACGTGTACTAGGTTGGTATGGGGAGTCTCAGTGTTAGTATGTGGTGGTTCACTAGCTGCTTGCACAATGCCAATGCCAGTG